CACCTTGCAATGGTCATATGAAGTACCTGAAACAATAAACTGAAACTGTAAGCCAAAGCTTAATGAGTTCCCCCAAAGTACCAACCCACACAAACATATAACAACATATAATGGGTCCACAACTAACCGACTGGATTACCCCCTGAGCCCACAATATGAATTTGGCTTTCCCTTCAGGCCCACAACTCATATCTCGCTTGCTTTCGAGTCCACAACATGAGTCTGGCTTACCCTTCAGGCCCACAACTCATGTCTGGCTTGCTCCCGAGCCGACATCATAAGTCTGGCTTGCCATTTAGGCCCACAACTTATGTCTGGCTTGCTCCCAGGTTTGTTAGCTACTGCCAAAGCAGTACTACCTCAACCTAACCATACTATGTCGACATATACATAACATATAACATATATCCGGTAACACAGATAAACATATAACCAATCAACAGATAGATTTACAGATCACTACCGCATGGAAACCTCCTATATACCGGATACAGATCTAACAGATCACTATAGTATAACAACATACTAAGTACCAACAATCCAAGGAATGCATAACCATACATACTCAGAGGTGAGATAGACACTCGGACAGGTGATCCTACTCTAGACCCACAACCAAACAAGGAACAGGCAAGAAAGCCTAGATCAAGAGTCCTTAATCTATCCTACATGACTACATATAGTCCCTAAGACATCCCTCTACTAACAGGAAACCAAAACTAGTGGGCTGGAATTGGTGCCTTCGACCCATGGGTACAATGAGGCGAAACTCACCTAAATCGAAGAACCTTGAAAGACTGTGATATGCTCCTTTCTGTATTGCTTGCTCCCGTGAATCCACTAACACCAGAACCAGATAAAATCTTAATCAATAGCCCAAAATCCTCAAGTTTGACCCAAGGTCAAATTTGGTAAAAACGTCAATGGTCAACGGAAGTCAACATAAGTCAAAGTCCAAGGTAGTTGAGTACGGCCAGCGTACTCAACTATCGCGTAACGTATGCAGCCTGATCTCGCTCCTTCATTAAGAACTTAATCCCTTAAGGACTTTTCACCCAAAATCAGATCTGGCCTCAAAACATTATCTTAAGTCATAATGTTTCCACCTTTATGACTTTCCATTGCTAGGGAAGGTCCAAAAGCTAAAACCCATACTTATTAGTCCATTAAGACATCACAACTCTTGCATGGAAATGATAGAAGGACCAAGATCATATTTTTATGGTTTCTAATAGCTCCATAATAGATAAAGTTTCCAAATTTATCTATTAGAAAGGTCCCAACAGACAAGATCTAGTATTTAAGTCTCAAAGGGACCAAAAGTGCATCTTTTTCAACTTAATCCATTAAGTCCAAGTCTCCAACCTTCAAATCTGAATCAATATGATGTTTAAATGGATAAAGTTTCCAAATTTATCCATAACAAGGTCACAAACTTTCAAGATCTAAAATTTATGCACTTAAAGTGACCAAAAGCTCATAACACCCAAAATTATATAGATCTAACAATTTTATTATCAAGAGTAAAACTTTATACCTCCAGAAGAAAGATAAAGGTGAACAAGGTCTAGATCTACAAGTTCCAATGCAACCAATGATTATTTAATGATTTAATTCTTCTCTAAGGTGCACCAAGAACACTCCCAAAGCACTTAAAAACACCTTCTTTTTGCTCACAAGGCTTAAACTAGGGTTAGGGTTTCAAGAGAGGGTGTTGGAGAGGTGGACGCTGAGAATGGAATGGGTTTAGGGAAGTTAAGGAGCTTAAATAGGGCTCAAACCATCAAAATAGGGTTTGGGCATTGATCGCGTACGCCCAACATACTCCTGGTATGCCCATCATACTCCCCAGCGTACTAGAGAAGCCCTAGTACACCCAGCGTACTCCCCGAAAGTCCAACGTACGTGGCAAACCCAAAAATCGCCCTAACTTCAAACGGTCGTAACTTTTTCGTTCCAACTCCATTTTCGACGTTCTTTATATCCACAGAAAGGTGTTGAAGAGATCTACAATATTATCTAAATATCTTGGACAAATTCTTGAACAAAAATCCATATTTCATGCAAGAACTCAGCCTGCGACTTTTCCCTTTCCACAATTTGGCCCAAAACATAATTCAAGGGTTAAATCTCTTAACTAACATTACCTCCTTCCACAAGGACTAAACATTGCCTTCTTAAGGCCCAAATCCTTACACAATCGACTTCCGGCCCATGACCCAGAAATGGCAGGAAGCAGGATGTTACAATTTTCTTTTTTCACTTTTATTATATTATTATTATTTATTAACTAAAAAATTAATAATATAAGTAGGCGCCACCATCACTAACACTTGTCAGTGCAAGCCACCACCTACCATCATCAAAAACCTGCTGGCCACCAGAAACCACCGTTGGTGACCGTCAACCACCACCTGTCACCATCTGAAAACTGATTATAAATCCATAAAAAATCCATTTATAATATAAACAAATTATAACCTTAAGAAAACCAAAGTTGCTATGGATCTGAAGAAAACACCAGAAGCAAATTTGGAGCATACCTACTCCAAACCCCCAATCACTAACTCCAGTCACCTGCAATCACCACACCACCAGTCACCTGCAACCACCACACCACCGGATACCGAAAACCTTCCAGAAAAAAACCTCAGGCACACCTGAATCAAATTCACCAGTTGAGAAACCTAAAATAAAATCCAGAAAAAAGCAACAATATCACCACTTTCATTGCCATCTGTAACATCCCAAAAACATTGATAAAATTTTTCATTTGGAAGTTTATCGATATGTACACAAATTGTTCAAAATCAAACACGCAGTTATAATATTCAAAACATCAGAGTATAATTATTCAGAATGCGGAAATCATGAAGGGAGGATGTTGTGCCATCACGTCAGTCCCTTCCCTTTCGAATCGGAAGTACCTGAAACCATAAACATAAACCGTAAGTACAAAGCTTACTTATTTCCTCAAAGTACCACATACCAAAACATACAAGTGCCATGGGCTACAACCATGGTCTTTCCTTGCAATGCCGAGGGCCAAATCCCGGTCTTACATACAAGTGTCATGGGCTATCCCCATGGTCTTTCCTTGCAATGCCGATGGGCAAATCCCAGTCTTACATACAAGTGCCAAGGGCAAGATCCTAGTCTTTCATGCAAGTATCATAGAAACAACTATCATTATACATAACAAAATAATGGGTCGGTATTGGTGCCTTCGACCCATGGACACAGTGAGAAAACTCACCTCACAGACAGATATGCAAACTGAATAGCACATCGCTCCGAGATCAACTCTACTAGTCACTTTAATGAATTCAGTGACATAATATCAACATACATATCAAAATACCTAAAATACCCCTAGGTCAAACCCTAGTCAAAATCCACGTCAAAGTCAACTGAGCCAACCAAGTTGAGTTAGTGAGTATGTTGGGTGTACATAATACGAACGCAGGGCATACAACATGGTTGACCAGAATCAGGGAGCTGACCACGTACGCATAACGTAGCCCTTGGTACGCCCAGCGTCCGCGGTTACCCTCAACTTTATCCATTAAGTGCTTAATCCTTAAGCACTTATGTCCAAAATCCAGATCTAGACCCTAATATGTGATATTATCCATAAAGTTTCCAACTTTATGGTTTTGTATGGCTATTAAGACCTTAATAACAAAAACCCTAGCTTCTTGACCTATTAAGACAACATAGACCATGCATGGGAAGAAACCAATGTCCAAGATTACCTTCTTGGAGTATTCCTTACTCACAAAGATCAAGATTGGGACAAAAAGGTGCCAACTTTAAGCTAAAACTAGATCCAAATGAAATACTCATCAAGGTTGGAGCTTTATACCTCTAAATGATGCACAAAAGGAAGTAGATGCTGGATCCAAGGCCTTGAGTGAAACACCACAACCTCAAGGTTCTTCCTTCTTCTCCAAAAGCTCCAAAATGACACCAAAAGGCTCTTCAAGCTTCACAAGCCACTCACACACTTTAGGGTTTCAAAATGAGGAAGGAGGCTGAAGATAAGAGGGTGCATGAGACCATAAAGATGCTTAAATAGGGTCCAAACCCTAAAAATTAGGGTTTTCACCCTGGCTACGTACGCACAATGTACTAAGAGTACGCCCATCGTACGCACACAAGGCCAAAATTATAGAAATGCCATTGGGACCAATCTTGCAAACAAATCATAATCCAAGGGTTAAAAGAGAATACATGAAAATTTTAGATGTTACACCATCAATCACCACAACCTCTACCATTGACCATCATTGACCACCGCCGTCACTAATAAATCCCATTGATGCTTAAACCTTAACAAAAAAGCCTATATATATAGAGAATCAAATATGGAGATAGAGAGAGAGAGAGAGAGAGAGAGAGAAAAAGAGAGAGAAAGAGACAGACATATTTGCTTGAAGGAGACGATCAGGTTTCTGAGGTTTCGGACAGGTCTTTAAGCTTCATTTTTTGAACAAGTAGATCTGGAAAAGGTAGAAAGGAGGAAAATGAGAGGTTTTCCATCTATGTATCGAAGCTTACATCCAGGTCTTTGAGCTCCCAATTTGTTTTTTCTAAAGAAATGAGTTCTCCGACGGACTAGAGGCGGCGAAGAAGACGTACATCTGCCCTAAGGAAACGACGAGCTGTTTTTGAAGTAGGTGGTGTCGGGGGAGATGATGGGAAGGATAAGTTGTTGAAGGCGGTGGGGAGGTGGATGTCGGTGGTTGCTGTGTTACAGGTCTGATGGTAATCGACTAGAATTATCCTTGGAGGATAATTAGGGAACCAGATAAGTACCAAAAGTAAGATGATGTTATTTTATTGGTTTGGGCTTATCTAGGGTTTCTTGATACACTATATAAAGACCCCTAAGCCACATATTAATCGTGTCTACTGTAAAACCGGTAAATAATCTTTATTTTAATTTAAAATAATAACAATTGAATATCACAGGAAATTTAAATTCATCTATATATATGCAACCTAAAAACTTATAACTAATCCATAAAAGTAAGCTTGACACCAGAATACAATACTCCCTACTCCGACAATTGTTCAGTATCTCCGGTCATGGCTATGTATAGAGTAGCAAGTGCTTCGGAGTATCTGGTGATTACCAGATTCGGGATCGACGACATCAAAATCGCAAAGAAAGCATGGATACTTCCCGGCCAGTCCTGCTCCCGATTCGACATCTCTCCGGTCAACTACACTTTCGATGTTCAGGCCATGAGCGCCGAGAAACTCCCCTTCAAACTTCCCGCCGTATTCACCATCGGTCCTCGTATCGACGACGACGACAGTCTCCACAAATACGCCAAACTCATCGCCTCTCACGATAAACAATCGCACCATGTGATTGAGCTCGTGAAGGGGATCATCGAAGGGGAGACCCGTGTCCTCGCTGCGTCCATGACCATGGAAGAAATTTTCAAAGGAACGGAGGATTTTAAGAAGGAGGTGTTCGATAAGGTCCAATTGGAACTTAATCAGTTCGGATTGTTGATCTACAATGCCAATGTGAAGCAGATGGTCGACGAACCTGGACAAGAGTATTTTTCATATTTAGGGCAAAAAATCCAACAAGAAGCTGCAAATCAAGCTAAGATTGATGTTTCTGAAGCCAAGATGAAGGTATTATGTTGCTTAGGTTTTGATTGGTAGATAATCAGTTTATGATTCACGATTGATTGTTGTTTTAGGGTGAATTTGGATCCAAGCTTCGCCAAGGCCAGACGCTTCAGAATGCAGCGAAGATAGACGCAGAGACGAAGATCATAGCGACACAGAGACAAGGACAGGGGAAGAAGGAAGAGATAAAGGTGCAAACGGAGGTGAAGGTGTTCGAGAACCAGAGGGAGGCTGAAGTGGCTGAAGCAAATGCAGAGCTCGCGATGAAGAAGGCAAAGAGGGCCAAGGATTCACAGGTTGTAGAGCTGGAGTCGAAAAAGGTGGTGGCGCTCCGGGAGGCGGAGCTGCAGAAGGAGGTTGAGATCATGAACACGTTGACTCAGACGGAGAAACTCAAGGCTGAGTTCTTGAGCAAAGCTAGCGTTGATTATGAAACCAAGGTAACAAACATAACACAAAGTAATCGAATTCGATTAATCACCTATGTTTCACGAAATTGAATTTCTATCTGTTTGACATAAACAAAGGTACAAGAGGCGAATTGGGAGCTTTACAGAAAGCAGAAGTGAATCATCCCAAAATACGACCCAAAACGTTTTGTTTTAATATTACTAAAAATCACATCATCGAATGTCATACATACTAAGAAACATAAAATGAGTAACTCAAAAGCCAAGTAACTGTGTCAAAACAAATACTGTATCAATCATATCAAAATATCTGAATAAAACTCCCAGGATAAAACTGAAGCTGTGGTGTGTGCCATGCCATCATCCTGAGCTCTTCCCTTTACTTGCGGAAGTACCTGAAACCAAAAACTGAAACTGTAAGCACAAAGTTTAGTGAGTTCCCCCAAACTACCACATACCATACTATAACATATAAGCAGGTACTGGGCCCCGCCCGGCATCGGACCGAAGTCCGGAACTAGCTTGGGCCCCGCCCGACATCGGAACGAAGTCCGGAACTAGCTTGGGCCCCGCCCGCCATCAGACCGAAGTCCGGAACTAACTGGGTGAACATAGCATAGCATAATCATGACTACTATCATAAACACATATACTGCATACTGCATCCGACCGAATTCCGGAACACATAACATAAGGACATGCTTGAATCACAAAGACATCAAGCACACTGAACTACTGCATGGGACCGAAGTCCGGAACTACTGCTAACTAAACGGGCCGGCATTGTGGCCGTAGACCTGTTCCTACTGGAAGGAAACGCACCTCGTGACGCTGGCTGCTGAGGTGCTAAATCTGAGACTGTCTGACTGCTGCTCCGGAACTCCCCGGCTACAAATCCCATAAACACTAAATCAAATACTGATAACTAATCTCAGGGTAAAATGACTATTTCACCCTCGGTCAAAGTCAACTTCCTGGTCAAAGTCAACTTCCAGTTGACCGGACTCGCCGAGTTGGGCCGCTAACTCGTCGAGTCCCTTTCATCCGTTCTAGTCCTATACTCGCTTCTACTCGTCGAGTTTGGCAAGGACTCGACGAGTTCCTCTTCGATACATACATCAAGTATAACTTCATCCGACTCGCCGAGTTGTATGAACAACTCGTCGAGTTCCCCTTCATCATATGAACACGTCCAGTCTGCGACTCGCCGAGTCATAAGAACTACTCGTCGAGTCTGAAGAACAACTCGCCGAGTTTGATGAACAACTCGTCGAGTCCAAGGCATGCTATTACTATATAGTCGATTCTAATCGATTCCAGTGCTTCCAAATCATAGATCTGAGCTTCTAGGACTGGTTTTACACGTAAAGTTTCCAACTTTACGTGCATGCACAAGGGTATGAGACTAAAATACCCAAACTCATCAAATACTAAGCACGTAGGGTTTGGAACAAGGCAAAGATTGCATAAAGGTGGCTATAATGAGCTCCTAGAGTTCAAGAGAGGCTAGATCTGAATTATAACTCGATCATAAGGCTTTATTACAAAGGATTTGGGGTTTTTGAGCTTAATATCAACAATTTAGGGACAAACTAGATCTATAAGATTAATAAGCAAGATGGAGACTTTATTACCAGAAAAGATGACCACAAATGAGTGTGTTCTGGATCTACTTCCTCCTCCTTGAACTCTTCAACCTTCTCCTTCTTCTACTTGCTCAAAAGTGCACCAAAAGCTCCTTCACAAAGCAACAATCACTCACACACTCTTTAAGAGGGATAGGGTTTGGTAAGAAATGCTCTGAGGGTGATGGAGGCGAAGTTGGGGCGCAATAAGATGTTTAAATAGGGTGCAAACCCTTAAAAATTAGGGCTTCATCCAGACAGGCGGACTCGCCGAGTCCCAACATATGGACTCGTCGAGTAGCCAATTCCATTTGCGTGATCAACCTGTCTCTACTCGACGAGTCGGGCTACAGACTCGTCGAGTACCCCTTAAGAAATGAAAATACTTTATTTAAATTACATACCAGGAATGGGGCGTTACAACTCTCCCCCACTTGTCTTAGACTTCGTCCTCAAAGTCCGCTGCTGCTAAATCTGAAAATAACTCTGGGTAATGCTCCCTCATCTCCTCCTCCGTCTCCCATGTCCACTCTGAACCCTTCCGGTGCTGCCACTGCACCTTTACTAACTGAACCACCTTGTTCCTCAAGGTCTTCGTCTTCCGATTCAAGATCGCAACTGGTCTCTCGATGTAATTCAGGCTGTTATCAACCTGAATATCCTCTAAGGGTACAACTGCTGACTCGTCCACCAAACACTTCCTCAACTGGGAAACATGGAAAGTGTTGTGGATCTGGCTAAGCTCTGCTGGAAGATCCAACCGATAAGCAACCCGACCCACCCGGGCCAAAACCCTAAATGGACCAATGAACCTGGGGCCCAACTTGCCCCTCTTTCGGAATCTGATAACCCCCTTCCAGGGTGATACCTTCAGGAGGACCATATCGCCCACCTGAAACTCCAAATCCGAATGCCTCCTATCGGCGTAACTCTTCTGCCGACTCTACGCAGTCTGCAGTCTGCTACGGACCTGCTGGATCAACTCTGTGGTCTTGAGTACCACCTCTGTACTCCCCATGACTCGCTGACCGACCTCACCCCAACAGATTGGGGTTCTGCACTTCCTCCCGTAGAGCATCTCGAAGGGAGGTCGATCTATACTGGAGTGGTAGTTGTTGTTATACGAAAACTCCGCTAACGGAAGATACGTATCCCAACTGCCACCGAAATCTAGTACACATGCCCGAAGCATGTCCTCGAGAGTCTGAATTGTCCTCTCGCTCTGTCCATCCGTCTGAAGGTGGAAAGTGGTGCTGAAATGGAGACGAGTACCCATCTCTTCGTGAAACCGCTTCCAAAATCTGGAAGTAAACCGGACATCTCGGTCTGACACCACCGAGACAGGAACTCCATGCCGTGCCACTACCTCGCGCACATAAATATCAGCTAGCTTCTCGGCCGATATACTCTCCTGAATCGGTATGAAATACGCGCTCTTGGTCAGCCGATCCACTATGACCCAAATCGAATCAACTCCACGTGCGGTCCTAGGAAGCTTAGTGATGAAATCCATGGTGATATCCTCCCATTTCCACACGGGAATGTCTAACGGCTACATCTTGCCATGGGGTCTCTGATGCTCCGCCTTGACCTTCCTGCAGGTCAGGCATCTCTCCACGTACCAAGCTACGTCCCGCTTCATGCAGGGCCACCAATAGTCGGGTCGAAGATCTATGTACATCTTCGTCGCCCCTGGGTGGATGGAAAACCGAGACTTGTGGGCCTCATCCATCAGTACCTGCCGTACTCCTCCCCAGTACGGTACCCAAACTCTCCCATGAAGGGTCAACAATCCTCGACTGTCGTAGTCAAAGGAAGCTACTCGGCGCACAATCCTCTCACACTTCTGTCTCTCCTCCTTCAGGCCCTCAACCTGTGCCTCTCTGATCTGCTCCAACAATGGAGTAGTCACCGTCATCCTCAGACATGATCGGGGCGGCTACCGCCTTGCGGCTCAGGGCGTCGGCCACTACGTTGGCCTTGCCCGGATGATAAAGGATCTTACAATCGTAGTCCTTTACCACATCTAACCATCGGCGCTGCCTCATGTTCAGATTCGGCTGATCCATGAGGTACCTCAAACTCTTGTGATCCGTGTAAATGATACAGCGGACCCCATAGAGGTAATGTCTCCAAATCTTGAGGGCAAACACTACTGCCCCCAACTCTAAGTCATGTGTCGGATAGTTAGCCTCGTAAGGCTTCAACTGTCTAGAGGCGTAAGCTATCACATGCCCTCGCTGCATCAACACTGCTCCCATACCTGTGATCGAAGCATCACAGTAAACTAAAAAATCCTCTACTCCTTCTGGCAGGGTGAGAATCGGCGCCTCGCACAATTTCTGCCTGAGGGTCTCAAATGATGCCTACTGCTCAGGCCCCCAACGAAACACCACCGACTTCTTGGTCAGTCGGGTGAGCGGAACTGCTATTTTGGAGAAATCCTGAATGAATCTCCTATAGTACCCTGCTAATCCTAGGAAGCTCCAAATCTCAGTTGGAGATCTCGGGACCTTCCACTGCATCACGGCCTCTATCTTGGCCGGATCCATTAGTATACCCTTCTGGTTGACGAGGTGCCCAAGGAACTGCACCTCGCGCAACTAGAACTCGCACTTGGAGAACTTCGCATAAAGTCTCTCCCTCCTTAGTGTCTCTAGCACCTCTCTCAGGTGCTCCTCGTGCTACTCCTGAGTCTTGGAATAAACCAAGATGTCATCAATGAACACTATTACAGATCGATCCAACATCGGTCTGCATACGCGGTTCATGAGGTCCATGAACGCGGCTAGAGCGTTGGTGAGCCCGAACGGCATCACCACAAACTCATAATGACCATAGCGGGTCCTAAAAGCGGTCTTCTGCACATCCTCGTCCTTGACCCGCATCTGGTGATATCCTGACCGCAGATCAATCTTGGAGAACCAAGATGCTCCCTGAAGCTGGTCAAACAAGTCGTCTATCCTCAGGAGTGGGTAACGGTTCTTCACCGTTACCTTGTTCAACTCCCGGTAATCTATGCACATACGGTGCGACCCATCCTTCTTCCTCACGAAAAGGATCGGGGCTCCCCATGGTGAACTACTGGGCCTGATGAAACCCTTGTCTAGCAGCTCCTGCAGCTGCGTAGACAACTCCTGCATTTCTGGAGGGGCCAATCGATATGGTGCCTTGGCTATCGGAGCCGCACCTGGAACCAGGTCAATCCGAAAATCGACCTGTCTTTCTGGAGGTATCCCAGGTAAATCCTTCGGGAATACGTCCAGATACTCTCGTACTACTGGTACATCATCAATTGTCGCCTTACCCTTCTCCCGGGTATCTATAACATAGGCGACGTACCCTGCGAAACCCTGCTGAACGTAGTGCCTCGCTCTCGCTGCGGAACACAAAACCGGTCCGCGATGTGGTCTCTCGCCCTGAATCACTAACTCTCCCCCACTAGGAGTGTGAACCCTCACTAACTGCAGCTCACAATCAATCACTGCCCCATTGGGGCTCAGCCAATCCATACCCACTATAACCTTATTCCTTCGCAGGGGAATGGGAACCAAGTCCACTGAAAACTGCTCATCAAATAACTGCAGCGAACACGCCCTATGCACTCTCGCGACCCTGACAGTCCTGTCATCAGCTATCTCAACCTCAAGTGGGCAATCCAGCTCCCCCGGAGCTCTGTTAAACCTCTTGCTAAGCGCAAGTGAAACAAACGATCGGGTAGCCCCCGAGTCAAACAATATTGTAGCTGAAATGCCGTTCACTAAGAACGACCATATACGAAAACATATAACCATGAGAAATAATCAATATCAATAAGGAGATAAGAGAAAATATACATACCCGTCACCACATCAGGAGTCGCTCGCGCCTCCTCTGCTGTCATCTGAAAAGCTCTACTCTTCGCCACTGGAGCCTCACCCCAGCCCTGACGGCCGTCTGTAATCCTCAAAGTAGCAGGGGCAAGTGCTACCACCTTCCCTGCTGCTGCTAAACTTGGGCACTGGGACTTTTTATGTCCCCTCTGATTGCAATGAAAGCAAATCAGATCTGATGCTGTGGTGGTCGTAGTAGCTGTACAGTCTCTGCTCATATGCCCAGTCCGGCCGCACTTAAAGCAACCGGGGCTCCCTGCCTTGCACACCCCATCGTGCACTCTCCCACACTTGCCATACCGGCTGTGGCTCTGTTGTCCTCTAGATCTGTGATCCGATAACTTGGGCTTTTTGCCCGAACTCCCTGTGCCAGATACCGCCTCTGGCTTCCTCTTCTTCTCCATCTCTAAATCTATCTCTCTCTCACGAGCCCTCGCAATCATGTCATCCAACATTTTACAGCTGGACCAGCTCACAAACTGGCGGATATCACTCCGCAACATCTCATGATCACGGGCCTTCTTCATTTCCTCATCAGCTGCGTACTGAGGAACAAGAAGAGCCCTCTCCCTGAACTTGGCGGTAATCTCCACCACTGTCTCTGTAGTCTGAGTGAGATCCTGAAACTCCCTGGCTAACTGCTGCACCTCAATAGCCGGTGCAAACTCGGCTCAGAACCTGGTAGTAAAATCAACCCAAGTCATGGCATCAAGCGCTGCGTCATCCCCGATGACATGTCCAACCTCCTCCCACCAATCTCGTGCCCTGTCCTTCAGAAGACATGATGCTATTCTGACCTTGTTCCCCTCGAGACATTTGCTGGTGCGGAACGCATTGGCGACATCCGCCAACCATCTGGTACTCGCAATGGGATCCCGCGCCCCATGGTAATCTGGAGCTCCACAAGCCCGGAACTCCCTGAAGGTGAGTGTACGCGACCCCATCATAGCCGCCACCTCGGCACGGAAGGTGCCCAACCTTTCGTCCATCAGCTCTAAAATACCCTCCTTGACCGAACCGAAGATCACAGGAGTCTGATCCAGTATGATGCGAGTAAACTCTGAAGAGAGGAACTCCCTAGTCTGCTCGTCCAACTGCCCGACCCCCGAGCCTGATCCTGATCCCTCCCCGGCACCTGAACTGCCGACTGCTGGTCTAGGGCGTAAAACCACCATTCTGAAAACATACCACGACAAGACGTCAGAAACACGGATATGTCTCGAGGGATTGCTACTACTACAAGTTCCCTGGTCTCGTCTAAGCTTTACTCAATTCAAGTACTGATCCTCTGCTTTCAGTAGTACGGGCCCATACTACCTTCCACATCTATCCGTATTTTCTTCAAGCACTGCTTCGACTCCACCAAGTCACTTCTACTGCTGCTGATCTCTGATACTCTCATCCTAGGCTTGCTCTAGGGAAATCTCTGACTCCACCAAATCCAGTCCTCAGCTGCTGAAGGCCTCCTCGTAATGCCAATTAGCCATCGCCTGAATACCGTCACATGTGACGAGGCTCGGATAATCCTTCGACTAAAAGACTCGTCCCTACAACGGTTAGACTCAAACAAGAGCTGCACAATAGGGACAAATCCAGCACTCTGAGATTATTCAACCCTGATCACATGAGACGTGACGTATTCACCCCATGGCTAACTCCCATCACTCCGAGTCCTACAAAGCACGAAGCACGCAACATTCGGACACAGGAAACTACTCAAGCAATCCTATCTTCATAACAAGAAATTGTACTAGCATAAAATGCGAAGCTCATACTACCAGGCATAACCTAAACAGACTATCCTACTACTGTCTACTGAATACTAACATGAAATTCTCATAAAGCTGAGGCACATATAACAGGCACATAAGGCATCCTCCTAGATCCTTAGTCCTATTCTAGCATGTTGTTCTACTAAAACTGAAACTGAACATCATAACATAAACTTGTACGGGTAATTTGGGAGTACTTAGTTGAGCTCGGCTGATTGCATGCACCACACCCTTTTTCTCTTTTCAAAGCTCTTTTCTTTCTAAAAAATCTTTTTGCTTTTCTACAACTCTTTTCTTTTTAAGTTTTCTTTTTCAAAAATTCCTTTGAAAACATTTTCCTTTTGAAAATCTTTTTACCATTTCCTTAGTTTGAGTCCAGTCACACCCGAGAGTGTGCCTGAATCCCTCAAACCAAGGCTCTGATACCAACTTGACACATCCCAAAATACGACCCAAAAATTTTTTGTTTTAATATTACTAAAAATCACATCATCGAATGTCATACATACTAAGAACCGTAAAATGAGTAACTCAAAAGCCAAGTAACTGTGTCAAAACAAATACTGTATCAATCATATCAAAATATCTGAATAAAACTCCCAGGATAAAACTGAAGCTGTGGTGTGTGTCATGCCATCATCCCGAGCTCTTCCCCTTACTTGCGGAAGTACCTGAAACCAAAAACTGAAACTGTAAGCACAAAGTTTAGTGAGTTCCCCCAAACTACCACATACCATACTATAACATATAAGCAGGTACTGGGCCCCGCCCGGCATCGGACCGAAGTCCGGAACTAGCTTGGGCCCCGCCCGACATCGGAACGAAGTCCAGAACTAGCTTGGGCCCCGCCCGGCATCAGACCGAAGTCCGGAACTAACTGGCTGAACATAGCATAGCATAATCATGACTACTATCATAAACACATATACTGCATACTGCATCCGACCGAATTCCGGAACACATAACATAAGGACATGCTTGAATCACAAAGACATCAAGCACACTGAACTACTGCATGGGACCGAAGTCCGAAACTACTGCTAACTAAACGGGCCGACATTGTGGCCGTAGACCCGTTCCTACTGGAAGAAAACTCACCTCGTGACGCTGGCTGCTGAGGTGCTAAATCTGAGAGTGTCTGACTGCTGCTCCGGAACTCCCCGGCTACAAATCCCATAAACACTAAATCAAATACTGATAACTAATCTCAGGGTAGAATGACTATTTCACCCTCGGTCAAAGTCAACTTCCTGGTCAAAGTCAACTTCCAGTTGACCGGACTCGCCGAGTTGGGCCGCTAACTCGCCGAGTCCCTTTCATCCGTTCTAGTCCTATACTCGCTTCTACTCGTCGAGTTTGGCAAGGACTCGACGAGTTCCTCTTCGATACATACATCAAGTATAACTTCATCCGACTCGCCGAGTTGTATGAACAACTCGTCGAGTTCCCCTTCATCATATGAACACGTCCAGTCTGCGACTCGCCGAGTCGTAAGAACAACTCGTCGAGTCTGAAGAACAACTCGCCGAGTTTGATGAACAACTCGTCGAGTCCAAGGCATGCTATTACTATACAGTCGATTCTAATCGATTCCAGTGCTTCCAAATCATAGATCTGAGCTTCTAGGACTGGTTTTACACGTAAAGTTTCCAACTTTACGTGAATGCACAAGGGTATGAGACTAAAATACCCAAACTCATCAAATACTAAGCACGTAGGGTTTGGAACAAGGCAAAGATTGCATAAAGGTGGCTATAATGAGCTCCTAGAGTTCAAGAGAGGCTAGATCTGAATTATAACTCGATCATAAGGCTTTATTACAAAGGATTTGGGGTTTTTGAGCTTAATATCAACAATTTAGGGACAAACTAGATCTATAAGATTAATAAGCAAGATGGAGACTTTATTACCAGAAAAGATGACCACAAATGAGTGTGTTCTGGATCTACTTCCTCCTCCTTGAACTCTTCAACCTTCTCCTTCTTCTACTTGCTCCAAAGTGCACCAAAAGCTCCTTCACAAAGCAACAATCACTCACACACTCTTTAAGAGGGCTAGGGTTTGGTAAGAAATGCTCTGAGGGTGATGGAGGCGAAGTTGGGACGCAATAAGATGTTTAAATAGGGTGCAAACCCTTAAAAATTAAGGCTTCATCCAGACAGGCGGACTCGCCGAGTCCCAACATATGGACTCGTCGAGTAGCCAACTCTATTTGCGTGATCAACCCGTCTCTACTCGACGAGTCGGGCTACAGACTCGTCGAGTACCCCTTAAGAAATGAAAATATTTTATTTAAATTACATACCAGGAATGGGGCGTTACAAGAAGGCCGCTGAAGCAATTCTGTACGAGAAGGAGAAACAAGCGGAGGCTCAAAAGGCGATGGCGGAGGCGACACTCTACTCCCGCCAACAAGTCGCCGACGGTGAATTATATGCAAAACAGAAGGAGGCGGAGGGACTTGTTGGTCTTGCTCAAGCTCAAGGTACTTACATACGCACACTTTCGGGTGCCATGGGAGGTAACTATGGAGCTTTAAGAGATTATTTGATGATCAATGGAGGAATGTATCAAGAAATCGCCAAGATTAATGGGGAGGCAGTTAAGGGTTTACAGCCGAAGATTAGCATCTGGACCGGCGCAAATGGTGGTGGAGACGGCGGTGATGGTGGTGCCATGAAGGAAGTTGTCGGTTTGTACAAAATGCTGCCGCCGTTGTTTAACACGGTTCATGAACAAACCGAAATGTTGCCACCGACTTGGATTGGGAAGATCACGGAATCTAAATAACATGATATTTTTAAATATTTGGTTGTGAATATATTAATTAACATCTAAATAATGCTATTTACTTTTTCAATGGTTATAATGAAACAATTTTCCTACGTAAATAATTTGTTTTGAATATATTAATTAATTAACATTAACATTTCTAATGTATTTTTGTTATAATTAATTGGCCAAATGCCTATAGTGTTCGGGTTGCCAAGTTAGAGACATGACATGTATAATTAATGTGTCGTATGGTTTAAAAATAACTTGTATATGTTAAACAAAAACACAACTCTTTAACTCGTTTAATTATATGGGTTCACAGAAGATCATAATCGTCTTGTGTCTTAATCCAGTTCACATGTCATAACGGGTTTGCAAGTCATAATCGTTTTGGCAGGCCATTGTTGTGCAAGTGCATATATACATTACTTCCGATCATTTTTAACATATTTCATATTAGTTATAGACCTTCACTTTTTTTTTTTCAATAAAACTTATATTAACTAAAAAATATTGATAAAAGACCATATGTTTAGAGGTGATAATTCTTTATACCACAAGAAACACAAATAAATGGGTTAGGTTAAAAATGTCAATCCGTTCAAATAAACGGAGTGACATTACACGAATATTAGAATCTAAACTTTCAAAATGACATGTTATTTTATATGAATCTTCTAAATTATATGGGTTCACAGAAGATCATAATCGTCCTGTGTCTTAATCCAGTTCACATGTCATAACGGGTTTGCAAGTCATAATCGTTTTGGCAGGCCATTGTTGTGCAAGTGCATATATACATTACTTCCGATCATTTTTAACATATTTCATATTAGTTATAGACCTTAACTTTTTTTTTCAATAAAACTTATATTAACTAAAAAATATTGATAAAAGACCATATGTTTAGAGGTGATAATTCTTTATACCACAAGAAACACAAATAAATGGGTTAGGTTAAAAATGTCAATCCGTTCAAATAAACGGAGTGACATTACACGAATATTAGAATCTAAACTTTCAAAATGACATGTTATTTTATATGAATCTTCTTTTAATATCTTAGTGAAATTGGACATGTCCATAACTAAACTCGAATGTAAAAGAAAGATTTGTGTTGAATTGTTTTTAATATGGGAACCACTAATTAGTTGTCTCACTCACTACTTATTTTAGTTTTTCACGTTTTTCTATAATATCTCATATTCTACGATCTCATTCATCCATTTCCCTTTCAATGTGACTTCTCTCCTCTAAACTTATTGTAAATTCCATCCCTCAACCTCCAAAACTACTACTCCTTCATGTTTTCATCTTTCCTTTGCTACCTCTCCAACCAATACTCTTTCAAACTATTTAGTATTCAAATCTAGCACAACATCACACACACACACACACACACACACACACATATATATATATATATATATATATATATATATATATATATATATATATAAAATTCAATTCCCGAAATTGGTAGAACCCTCGATAAAGGAAAGAGATGATGTGTATGAATCATATACAATTTAAAGGATTTTGTAGGTTCATTGATTAGGGTTTGACTTTGAATTGACTTTGAATTATTTTTGGAAAGATATCAATTGGTAGAACCCTCGATAAGGGAAAGAGATGTTGTGTATGAATCACTCACATATTCTTCTGAAATATATGTATCTGCGAGACTAATTTGGAAAAACGATAGGCATAGGTATATCCAAGAACAAACAATTTTGATAGGAAAGATCCCTCTAATGACTTCTCTGGGAGCTTTTATAGTAAATGGAATATATAGAATTGTGATCAATCAGATATTGCAAAGTTTGGAAGAATATGTGAGCTAAAGATATATCTTTGTGGACAGTTCCACAAAGATAGTGAAAATTTTCATTATAAAGGTCCCGGTCTCAGTAGGTAATGCATTCATTGAATTGACAGGTGAAAGATTTATCATCTCTATGAGATTAAATCCCGAGTTATTTTGAAATAAAAAAACGATGAGATTGAGATTATGGAAGTAAATATTCTTGCATTTATTGCTACTGCACTGTTCATTTTAGTTCCTACTGCTTTTCTACTTATCATTTACATAAAAACAGTCAGTCAAAATAATTAATTACTTAACCCAAAAAGTCAAGGGAATGATTGGATAATTGGTTTATATAAATCCTTCCTGGTTGAGACCACATGTAAAAATAAGATTTCCAAAAATTGACAAAGTAATATTTCCATTTATTCATCAAAAGAAACGTCCATTTTGAACCAAGAATGGATTTTCTTTGATACCTAACATAATGCTTAGGGTAGGAACAATAGTATTTTATTGTGTAAGATTTCAAAATAAAAAGTAGACGCTTACGTGAATTGCTTAAACAATCCCAATCCGCCCCTCTCGGCATAGAAGAACATGTACTGACTATTTATACCAGAACAAATGGTTATCTTGATTCATTAGAAATTGGACAGATAAGGAAATTTCTTGTTGAGTTACGTACTTACTTAAAAATCAATAAACCGCAGTTTCAAGAAACAATATCTTCTACCAAGACATTCATCGAGGAAGCAGAAGCCATTTTGAAAGAAGCTATTAAGGAACACAGGAAACGTTTCATACTTCAGGAACAAGCAGCCTAAACAAATTGATCATCCTTTTCAAATATTTTTTAAATAAAATAAAAATGATAATCAAACGTTTCGGAGTCAAATCATTCAAAATTTATTTTTTGATATCTAAATCTAAAAAAAATATCTAGAAAAAAATTGTGTCCTTAAACTTGATCATTATAACTTGTATCTAGAAAAGATGTCATGATTACAAAGATAGTGAAAATTTTCATTATAACTTATTATATATATATAAGGTCTAGACCTTAAACTTGTCAACCCAACACCAATTCAACATAAAAATAAATGAGTTGACACAGAACGACATTATAATTAACCGATTCAGGTTATAGTCAAGTTATCTCAACATGTTTAAGTTTCGACACAACACGACTGCCATTTTTAAATATATAATAAACAATTTAGTTGTTTATTTGTGAACATTAAAAGTTTCTTTGTGAACTTTAATAAGGAGCAGTACATGTTTATCGTTGTCCATAGAAACCACGCAGGCTCACTGCAATATCCACTACATGTTACATCCCTTAGCCTAACTTATCAACTTAACTTTTATAAAACCAAATACTAATTGGCCTAGCCATATCAAGTGTTTAAAAATTGTTCCTCCAAATATATAATTTATATATCTTTAGGTTTATATATATATATATATATATATATATATATATATATATATATATATATATATATATATATATATATTCATTTACCAATATAATTATAAATATAGGATTTTAGATGTATTTAATATTTTGTTTGTGTATTCATTTATGCTTAGAAGTTTTATTTGTACATGTTAATGTCATCGAGTTTTTTCAAATTTGTTTGGTTTAGTTAATGTTATTGATATTTATTTTGTATTTGACAAAGTACACTAAAAACCAAGATCTTTTTGGAATGCATGTTGGAATGCTAATATACAATTAAACACTACAAAATGAAAAAAAAAGATGATTAATATTCATTTATAATTATAAAATCATAGTTAATTATTGCATTCAAATTTTTGTTTGTGTTGTATTCTATTATTATATGAAAATAATTAATTATTACAATGTAACATTTTATTATTCATTTATGAATAAATGTGTAATCTATTTATGTATACAAATGTGCTTTATTTATTTATAATTATAATTATATTAACTTCTTTAATCACTAAGTTGTGTTATATTCTTTTATGTTTATAAGAATATCTATATATGATTACGAATGTGTTTTAATCACTAAGTTGCGTTATATTTGTTTGATAAAATAAACGAAAAGAAGATTTTATTCAGAAAAATCATTTTTTAAAAAAAAATAGTAATTTTCAATGATTAAAATTTTGAATATATATATTCCAAATATTAGGGAAAAAAATCAATGAATGAGAACACATCTCATGATTATATGAAACTAACCCATAAATTATTCATATTTTATTAAATTGTTAAATTTTTTTCGATCTTATGTAAAAATTGGTCTATAACTGTTCTCGCGTTTTCAACTTTTTGGTGTTCCTAATTGAACATTTCTCTCTCTCTCTCTCTCTCTCTCTCTCCCTCTCTCTCTCTCTCTCTCTCTCTCTATATATATATATATATATATATATATATATATATATATATATATAGTTTGAATTATATGAGATTCATAAGTATTGTGAAAATACAAGAATGGTTTTGTAGTGTTAGATTGAAAAATCAATCATTTTGATTGATTCTTGAGTATTTAAAATCTTCTTAACTTAAAACGATTTAATTAAACAATAAGAATTTATTGTAAGTTGATTGGTGTAAAGGTCAGGTCTACTCAAGTCAGTTTGGGTGTAAGGATTTGCCTTTTCCTTTCATTTATATTGGACTTCTAGTCGAAGATAATATGAACCGAGTTGATTCTTGGAAGGGGATGGTGGATAAGTTTATGTATGAACTCTCCAGTTAAAAAGCGAAAACTCTTTATATATGGGGGAGATTCAACCTTTTGAAGTCGGTCTTGGGCAACTTAGGGTTTTACACTATATATATATATATATATATATATATATATATATATTCATGGTTCTTGACATGTTCTTGAAATTTTATGATGAATTTTAGTGCGCATTTTTAGGGTGTGGAGCTGGGTGAGGAAATTGCATTGGATTAGTTGTGAAAAACTCACAAGTAGAAAAAGAAGAAGGTATTCTTGGAGTTATTAGATTATTCTCATTCAATGGAGCTCTGATGCTCACATAAAGATGGCATTTTTTAATCAAAATGGAGCGTTGTGGGTATGTGTTATGAAAAAAGATATATCTTTATGATGGTTTTCTTGATAAGGACGAATTGAAGAATTCTTATAATGACCCTTGGTTAAATATTGTTCGAGCTATCAATAAGCATCAATCTAAAATAGATGATTTGGTA